TGGGAGCCTGGAAAGGAAGACAACAGCACTTAGGAACACTGGATGCCTCTCCAGAGGGGGAACTGCCCTGGTTAAAACCATCGTGGGTTCAAGGAGGCAGCAGAGATGTTGTAATTACACTGTCACGCGAAGGTGAGGTGTGCTCATAAAATGGGGAAAATAAACCCAGAAGAGCAAGAAAAGAGTGTGGGAATGGGATCAGGAGATTACATTAGGGATGGGAGAAAGAGTCCAGGTTGTTCAGGAGGGCTGAGATCCAGCTGGAGAAGGAACTCACAACTTGAAGGTGGCCAGGACTGATAGAGAAGGGGGTGAGAGAACTGGAGAAGCTCCAGGAGCTGCCTGTCTTCCTCTCCCAGTGTGTAATCACTGGGAATGTCAACTCCTGCTAGTTCAGGGGTTTCCCTTGTCTTTGGAGCTGCCAGCAGCAGGGATGGATCAGCAGGGATGAGAATATCAGAGCTTGTGTAAGTTGAAGGTGCCCTTGCAGGAGTGCTGGGAAAAGTTCCCACTTGCACAGAGTGGGAAAAGTGCCACCAACACTGTCTTGGACTGTTCTGAGATTCCTCTGTGGGATGGTTGGGAAGGAGAGCAGTGATCTGAACTGTTTGGAGAGCAGGTTGGGGCATCACCTGCCCCAGGCCCTGTGGGGTCTCAGGGGCTGGGAGCACCACTGTGGGGGTTGTATCTGCCTCTCCTTGCTAGGCCCAGGTTGGGGAGACTCTTGAGCCACAGCCACCCCAGTCCCATGTGGGGGATGATCCTGTTCCAAGCAGGAGCTGATCCTGTTCCTAAGCCAGGAATGCTCCAGCCTGGCCATATTTGGGCACCAGGTCTTCCCTTCTGGGGGTGCTGGGTGTGGCACCATGAGTTGGAAGGGGCTCCTGCAGGTCCAGGACCATCTGTCCAGGGCTTTCTGGGGATCCCTGACTGCCCATGGAAGGTCCTCCCTGTGCTCTGCTGTGTCTCTCTTCTCCATGGCTGGGTCTTCTTCCCTTGTGCAGTCAGGGAGTGAGCTCTGCAGGATGGAGCTGCTTCACTTTGCAGTTCCACCATCTCAAGGAATCATCTTTGGGTTGGGAGAGACCTTAAAGCCCATCTCATTACACCCCCTGCCATGGGCAGGGACACCTCCCACTAGCCCAGGTTGCTCCAAGC